ATTTTTTTTTTTTTTTTTTCGTTCAATGTTGGTAATCTGATTTATTTTTTGAAAAAAATAAAAATAAAAAATCAACCCATTATGATCTTATATATTTCGCATGAAAATAAGATCGTGTCTGCAATCTTCTTCTCCCTTTTAAAATCAAGATAACATTTAGAGTTAATTATATTTCACTGGTTCTTATTTAACAGTTAAAAGAGGAGTTATTATATGTGTGAATTCTCAGACAACATTGCTCCCACTCTCTTCAGTAATTATTTTTTTATCATGACTGAATGATACTGCAATGGCTTATCTATTTGATTACAAAGTTGGATTGAAATCACCGTAGATATTATTCCATTCTTTTGTGCATGGTAATATATGAAATTTGATGGTGATTATTGCCATTTATTAGGTTGCTGATGAACTTATCAAAATACAATAATTAAAAATTTTTCTAATTCCTCTCAAATTGATTATGGTGTAATAACATTTCGAATCAAAACAGAAAAGTTGAGTAAAAAAAAAATCCAAAGGAGGTTCATGGCCAAGAGGAAAGATGCGCGAGTAACGGTGATTTTGGAATGTTTCTTCCGCCTCTCATTCGAGTACCTTTAGCAGAGCATAAGAAGTCGGCTTTATTGAAAAGTCCTTTCGTTAGAAGTTAGAAAAAAAATCAGAGAGATTAGTTCCAAGGGGATAACCTTTAGTTCCTAGAAAGTTCTGGGCTTTGATCTTGCCTTAGCCTTCGCCTTAGTATGAATCCCATCGTCGAGAGCATGAAACGCTGTAAAATCTCATTTTGTTGACAAGAATTAAAATTTCTAATAATAGATCATTTAAAATTAACTAAAAATTAATGTTAGTCTTTGTTACTTTTTTCATTTTTTTTTAATTTGGAATATTTATATTATAATTTTTTTATAAAGTATTGTACATATACTTTTTTTTTTAAAACACCCTTGTAATACACGAGCATTGTACTAGTACTAATTGATAGTGGATAAGTGACATACTTCACTAAAGTAATTAATAATCTAAATAATTTTGTTAATTTTTATGCATTGATCAGTTTAATGGTCTAAACAGCTTCCTGTGTCACGATATTCAGTTAACATATTCGTGATTGCATGTTCAGTGACGCCGCGTTTAATAGTTGCAACCTCATCCTTTTTTACCATTTCATTTGTCAATTGCTGGTTTTCCAGGTAGGGCTTATGGTCCAACAAACGGTAAATCAAAGATTTGGCAAGTGCCTTCTTGAGCTTAGTGGGAACAATGCTATAATAGTCATGGATGATGCTGATATTGAACTTGCCGTCCGTTCGGTTTTATTTGCTGCTGTTGGTACCGCTGGTCAGCGGTGCACCACATGCCGTAGGCTGGTATAACATATATATATATAAATATATATATATATACATATATATTTATATATGTATATATACATCATATATGTATATATGAACTCTGCCTTGTAGATGAGCTATTAAAAACTTGTGATTTATGTTTTTTTCTTCCTCTTTGAAAATGAAGCTTCTTCATGAGACCATTTATCAAAAAGTGCTTGACCGGCTAGTTGATGTGTACAAGCAAGTGAAGGCTGGAAATCCATTGGAGAAGGGTACCTTGCTTGGGCCACTGCATACTCGTGCTTCGAGGGAAAATTTTGTCAAGGGAATAGAGAAAATCAAATCTCAGGTTTTTTGC